CAAGACTCACAACTCATTCTCACAGCCATGCTGTGAATGGGCAGGGAGGACCTTCTCATGAAGGCTGTTCAGGGAGAGGATGTGCCTAAGGACACGTGATGAGTTAGGTCAGTACTAGGTCCTCTTGGTTTTTAGCCCATCATTCATTCACCACTAAATAAGCAGAGACTTGCTGAGGATCTACTCTGAGGACAGGTGCAGCAGGAATTAGGCACGCAAAACTGGAAAAAGAAGGCCCACTTTTCTTGGGGAAGCTGGCTGGGGTTTGCATCCTAGTTTGGGGGTTGGGAGAGGAGAGTCAGATTAGCTAGGGGAGAGGTTGGGGTTCTGTGTGACCTTGGGCAAGTTATTTCATCTCTCTGTAAATTGGAGGTAACAGATTATAGCAAAATGAAAATGATGATTGTGTGTAAACCCCAGAAAACAAGTGCCTGTAGCAGAGTGCTACTCCTTAGATGTTAGCCATCATGATTCCTTTTTGTTTCAAGCCCCATATCCTGAGACGTTGGGTATCTGGCATAAGAGCTCTTGCCTGGAACCCCCTCTCCCATCCAATCCCAGCACTTCAATACTTTGTTAACCCAGCAGGAGCCTGACTCACTGGCTTGGGTTCACATTGCCTTTCTAGTGCAGATCTGGGCCCCCTTTGAAGATCAGTAATGGAAAACTTTCCCTTCCTTTCCAGTTTCAGTACAGCCCCTCTGATTACCCTAATGCAACCAAGGAGCTGAACACCAAGGGTGCAAACCCTGCTTTTCAGCCACAATTCTCTCTGTGCCTTTTGCTTTTCAATGAAGCTTCTGAGCTGGTGGGGAGGCTGCCTTTCAGGCAGACTCAGCTCCTCCTTGGAGCTGAGCATCGCCTTAGAGCCTGGAGCTGAAAAAAAGGCTGGACTTCAGAGAGCAACCTTCCCTGGGGAACAAGAAGCTGGGCGGGGGTGTGATTTTGTAGCCCCAAGTCTCAATCTTGACAGCAGTGATCTCTAGAGGAGGATACACCAAGCGATGATTTGGAAAGCTGCCTTGGCTTTATTGAGTAAAAAAGCAGGGATCAAAAGAGTACATAGTCTATGATTCCATTTTTTAAAAATATTTATTTGTGTGCACCGGATCTTAGTTGAGGCATGTGGAATCTTCAGCTGTGGCATGGGAACTCTTAGTTACAGTATGTGGGATCTAGTTCCCTGACCAAGGATTGAACCTGGGCCACCTGCATTGGGTGCATGGAGTCTTAGCCACTGGGCCACCAGCGAAGTCCTCCTCCATATGTTTTTAAAAAATAGTATCTATCCATCCATCTATCTATTAGTATGTACGTAGAAAACTACAGACTAGAGAAAACCAGGCAACTGTGGTTCTAGGGTTGGAAACAGGATTTTCATTTTCCATGTTCCATATTTTGTGATGTCTCTATTTTTACAATGAGCATTCATTGCGTTTTATCAGTAGAAGATGCATTTAAAGTGAAACAAACTGTATCGGTTATGATAGGCCAGTTTTGAATTAAAGTGAAAGTAAAAGTCACCCAGTTTTGTCCGACTCTTTGCAACCCCATGGACTGTAGCCTGCCAGGCTCCTCTGTCTGTGGAATTCTCCAGGCAAGTATTCTGGAGTGGGTTGCCATTCCCTTCTCCAGGGCATCTTCCCAACCCAGGGATCAAACCGAGGTCTCCTGCATTGCAGGTGGATTCTTTACCATCTGAGCTACCAGGAAAGCCTTAGTTTTGCATTAGGAACAAATAATTTTAAATCTCAATGGCTTCAAACAACAAAATCTTGTATTTACAGTTGGGATAGCATTGAGTGTCTATGATGGTTATCGGCACTCTTCACACACCTGAGTGCTAGGCGACCTGCTGCCTTCAGTGGTGATAGAGGACTAGACCTGAATTTTCTTGAGAAGATAAGTCAGCACAAATATGGCCCAGGAGGGCTGTGCACAGAGTGGGGAAAATATTAAAACAGTGACAACAATAATCTCCCTTGATGATAGTAAATTTCAGCAAGAACATCTAACTTTAAGTAGTGCATCTTTCTGAAGCTTCTCCTGGATAAACCAGCTGCAAACGTTGTCCATGGTAGCTAGCCAAGCGACCCTGTGTGTGTGTCAGGAGGGTGTGGAGAGTCAGTAAGTGGCATAACTACAATTGCAGAACCTAGAACCACACTGGCCTCAGGTCAGAACCTGGCTCTGCTGTTTCTAATGTCCTGATCTATATGATGCGATCCATTCTACGCCATTTCAGTGGGTCATCGTAAGGATTTAGTTGAGGTAAAACATGGTAACATTGAAAAGAGGGTACCGGCGTGTAGTGAATGTTCAAGACAGTTTGCTCTATCAATCATTATGTGATCGGTCCCCTGTGCAGTCATGTCCCGATCCTGTCTGTTCCTCCCAAGAGGACCTGAGGTATCCAGAGGTGTCAGGAGGATCTGTTGTACCTTTGGGATGAACCACCTAGCGAGCAAATAATCTGTAATTTGATAGGAGTGAGAGTTGCCCTTTTCTAGAATGGGGTTCGACCAGATGGAATCAAGCCAGAAAGCATGAGGAGAAAAAGAGCTTAGGAAGAACTTGCTGTTCAGAGTGGTTCTTGAGCAAACATTCCTGAAACAGGAATGCCTTGTTTGGCTTGGAGTTTTTTCTAAAATTTTTATTTACTTATTTTATTATTTATTTTTGGCTGTGCTGGGTCATCTTTCCACATATGGGCTTTCTCTAGTTGTGGCGAGTTGGGGCTACCCTCTAGGTGTGGTGCACGGGCTTCTCATTGTGGTGGCTTCTCTTCTTTCAGAGTATGGGCTCTAGGGCACTTGAGCTTCAGTAGTTGCGGCTCACGGGCTCCAGAGCACAGGCCCAGCAGTTGTGGTGCATGGGCTCAGTTGCCCCGAGGCACGTGGAATCTCCCCAGACAAGGAATTGAACCCATGTTGGCAGGCATATACCTAACCAATGGACCACCAGGGAAGTCGTAGCTTGGGCTTTTTAATTAACCTCACTGATGAAGGAGCAGTCTTGACCTTCTGACACCTGGGTGTTGGGATGTGGGCAGTTGACGTTGGTTTGTAAAGCTTGGAAGAGCAAGCCTCCCACGGGTCTGTCAGGCTCTGAGCCTGAACAGAAAAGATCCCTGCCCTCCCGCTTCTCCCCCAAACCTGAGAGGAGAGGACGTAATGATGCAAAAGCCTGGGGATGATGTTCATAGTAGCCACACATGATGGCAAGGAGTTTAAAGAGTCTTTGAGTCGTGAATGCAGCAAGACAGAGATGTGGAGAAAAGCTATTGAACAACAAAGAAATAGAGCTGGCAGGTCATGCTGTGCTTTCATTAAAACGCTGTCAGTCAAATGAAAAGCTTTTCAGCTTCTCAACTGCGGAGATGCTCCCGGCTGATCCCAGGCACATCTCCCCAGCAGAACTCACAGACTGTGCTCTGCACGGAGGTGTCTCCAGCCTCCCCCAGAGGCTCTGCTCCCTGAAGGCTCCACTCAGCCCTGACCTGATACCAGTGCCTGGATGGACCCCTCCCCGACCCCACTTCCCTGAGGAAATGAGACTGTCATTCCATTCCTCCCTTCCTTCTCTTATCCGTGAATCTCAGGGAACATGGGGAACATCTGCCAGGTGTGTGCGCCTTTGGGCAGGTTCTTTGACCTCTGTGATCCTCAGTGCTCTCATCCGTAAACTGGGAGATATTTGTGAGATTTCATGAACAACTAATACATTGCCTGGGACATAGCATCACTCGTTAAATATTCACACCCGTCTCCTGTCACCTTGGTCATGTTTATCCCATGTTTGGTGACCAGTACCAGGGCATCCAGGCCATCCCAATCCTGGCTTCTCTATCTTGGGCAAATTGCTTAACCTCTCTTGAGTCACCATTTCTGTTTCCATCAAATGGAACAGAGTAAGACAAATCTTGCAGAGCTGTTTTGAGGATCAAATGAGACAATAAGTGTCTGCTCCTGGCGGCGTCTGGGACTCATAGTAAGTAACAGGGAAAAGGAGCTCTTGTTACTACTTCTTTAGTACTGCACTGGAGTCCAGCAAGATGATGTTGTATGACTTCTCCTGTGTTGTGTGAAGATCATCCCAGAGGACATTCCAGGGCAACCGGGGCCCAGACCCGGATGTGAGTGATGGACCTGCAGATCCTTGGCCTGATCATAGAAGGCCTGGATTACCTGGGGGAGGAGGCTTTGCTGCTGCTGCTGCTGCTAAGTCACTTCAGTCGTGTCCGACTCTGTGCGACCCCATAGACGGCAGCCCACCAGGCTCTGCCACCTCTGGGATTCTCCAGGCAAGAACACTGGAGTGGGTTGCCATTTCCTTATCCAATGCATGAAAGTGAAAAGTGAAAGTGAAGTCGCTCAGTCATGTCCAGCTCTTCGCGACCCCATGGACTACAGCCTACCAGGCTTCTCCATCCATGGGATTTTCCAGGCAAGAGTACTTGAGTGGGTTGCCATTGCCTTCTCCAGAGGAGGCCTTGGGGATGTACTGAAGAGTTACAAGCTCAGAGCTGTGCTCATGAAGTGAAATAGGTCCCACTGTGCAGCGTTGATTGGAAAGGGGCTGGAGGCAAGAGTCCATGGAGGAGGCTGCCAGAGTGGTCCAGGTGAGAGGGACTGGAGGGAACAAATTCAAGAGCCTGTTTGAGCTGCAGTAAGAAAAACCTGTCTGGTCACTCTGGATACCTCAGTGCAAGGATGCTGTCGCCCCTAAACCAACCTCAGGAAGGACCCCAGATGTGCCATCCTAAGCAGGGGTGAGAGCCTTGCTTTCCAAAGCCAAAAGCAGGACGCCCAGCTGGAATGATGGGTGGCAGTGGTCGGGGTTACCCCTCCTTGTGCATGAATATGGAATGTGCCCTTTGGAAGGACTTCCTTCGCATCTGGGTTTCCTCGCAGCCTTCCTGGCCCAGGCAGCCAGCAGTCACTGTGGGCTCTGGGTTGTTTCTGCTTCCCCTCTCCTTACTCTTCCTTCCCACCTGGCAGAACTCCACCTGGAAGGGAACTTCCTGCACCGCCTTCCCAATGAGGTCAGCACCCTGCAGCACCTCAAGGCCATTGATCTGTCCCGGAACCAGTTTCACGACTTCCCTGAGCAGCTCACCACCCTGCCTGCACTGGAGAACATCAATCTGGAAGAGAATGAGATTGTGGGTGAGTGGACCCAGCCCATGGCCCTGCCCCTCCTCTGTCTGCAGAGCCTGCCCTGAGCTCCCTTGCCTGAGTTGAGGCTCACAGGGCCTTCTGGGGCACAAGGCATGGGGCTCTGGAGGCAGAGTTTCATAGACAAGAGTGCAAGGTTGGGCTGTCTGGTCTGAGTTTCCTGAGTACAGGGCATTGAGCCTAGAAAGGTAACTATTATGAGGTCCTGCTGCCTGCCAGGGGCCAGGCTGGATGCTTACTTTCACCTGGCAGGTAGAAGGTCTTGGCTTTTCACACTGCGAGCCCTGAACTAGTTGGGCCATCTTGGACCTCAAGCTCTCCTCTTGTCTCCATCTGCCAGCCTTGGCTGCCTTTACGACCCTTCAGTTCAGACCTTCTATGTGTTAACTCCTGCCTGAGTCCCTGGCTCTCCCTCCCTGGCTGCACAGGAGCTCTTTGCCGTTATTAAGCAGGAGCCCCTAGGCAAACATGTTCCGAACAGCCTCTCTGTGCCTTCCAGTACAAATATGCTCCCCCTCAGGGAAGCAGAGGTCTCTCCCTCTGAGTTGGAGGTGTGCCTGCAAACAGCAGACCCCAGCAAGCTGGGTTTCTCTGAGGTGGAAGTTCCTTTCCTCCTTTTGTAACACTTGCTTACCTCCTGGTCTCATTTGGCCTGAGCATCCTCTCCGACTGCTGTCTAGCCTCCCCAAGAGAGAGTCCGGCACTCACAGGGTCCCTCGGTACCCCTCCTCCTCGGCTCCTCCTGCAGCTGCTTTGGCAGGCTCTGGAAGCCCGTCTCCAGCTGCATGTTGCCTTCTCTCACATTGCCTCTAATGTTGATGGTTAATAATAACCCCCTTCAGTTATGCATTCATTTTTGTAAGCTCTTTTACAGGCATTATGCTATTAGATTAAAAGCAAGAGGTCTCTGGTGGTTTGGTGCTGCCTAGTGCACTGGTGAGCCTCCCTTCTATCAAGGATGCTGCCTGCAGGGCTCAGGCTCTGGCTGAGTGGGAGGGGGAACCAGCTAAGCTCTGAATTTTGGGGTCCGTCCTTTTACAGGTGTGTAAACTGAGGCTCAGAGAGGTTATGAGAGAGCATGGGGTTGCACAGTGAGACCACAGAAATGCCGGGGTAAGAGTACATGATTCTAAAACTCAGCCCTATGCCTGGAGAGGGCTTCCCTTGTCTGGCCTCTGGGAAGGCCCTAGGGGTGGGCTGTGGTTCAGACCTGCCATCCCAAGACCAGGATCACTGAATGGCTGGCCCCTGGGTTGGCACCCCCTGGCCTCTTGGGCCCTTGTGCTATCTTTAAACAGAAGTGCCTGTTTACTGTATAGCTCCTGACCACCTAGGGCTTCCCTCATAGCTCAGTTGGTAAAGAATCCGCCTGCAATTCAGGAGACCCTGGTTCAATTTCCTGGGTTGGGAAGATCCTCTGAAGAAGGGATAGGCTACCCACTCAAGTATTCTTGGGATTCCCTGGTGGCTCAGCTGGTAAAGAATTGAACTGAAATACCTGCAGTGTGGGAGACCTGGGTTCGATCCCTGGGTTAGGAAAATCCCCTGGAGAAGGGAAAGGCCACCCACTCCAGTATTCAGACTCGGAGAATCCCATGGACTGTGGAGACATTACTTTGCTGACAAAGATCCGTCTAGTCAAAGCTATGGTTTTTTCAGTAGTCATGTACGGATGTGAGAGTTGGACTTTACAGAAAGCTGAGCACTGAAGAATTGATGCTTTTAAACAGTGGTGTTGGAGAAGACTTTTGAGAGTCCCTTGGACTGCAAGGAGATCAAATCAGTCCATCCTAAAGGAAATCAGTCCTGAATATTCATTGGAAGGACTGATGTTGAAGCTGAAACTCCAATACTTTGGCCACCTGATTCGAAGAACTGACTCATTGGAAAAGACCCTGATGCTGGGAAAGATTGAAGGTAGGAGGAGAAGGGGAAGACAGAGGATGAGATGGTTGGATGGCATCACCTACTCAATGGACATAAGTTTGAACAAACTCCGGGAGTTGGTGATAGACAGGGAAGCCTGGTGTGCTGCAGTGCAAGGGGTCGCAAAGAGTCGGACATGACTAAGTGACAGAACTGAACTGTATAGTCCAGGGAATCGCAGAGTCAGACATGACTGAACGACTTTTACTTTCCAGATCACTGGGGTCTTGCCCTGAGCTCTTCATTCTCGGCCAGGCCCTCCTTGCTGGGCCCTTCTTCTGCTGCCTTTTGCTTTTCGAGGCATTCCTGATGTCTTCTGCTTTTCCAAGTGGGGCAGTAACCAAGAAAGGGCTACTTGTTTGGGCTAATGTCAAGACCAGAGCTGGGTGGGTAGCTGCAGGCAGGCAGGTCAGGATAAGTATTGGCCAATGGCTTCCTCACTTCCTGACTGTATCTTTGAAAGACTCACATCCTTTCTCTAAGCTTCTTCTCCGCTTTCACGTGGTGGTTCTCCGACCCTCCCCAAACCCTTGCCCCAGAAGGTGGCTTTTCCTCAAGCGGAAGAGCAGGGTGAGTGGGCATCTCTTCTGGCTGTAGTATAAGGAGTGACTCCCCCAAAATGAGAAGTACAGGGTGACAGATCCCCTAATCTTCCTCCCTCCAGCAAGGCTGACAACATTCCTTAGCAGCAACAGCTCCCAGAACCTAGATCAGCTGTTTTAGCTTATTCTTTTGTACACATATCTCTTCCTTTCTACAGAGTGACAGTAATAACTCTGCACATGGAAGCATCTTGCAGTTTACCAAGAATGCTCATGTGCAGGCCCAAGACAAGAGGGTGATCATCCCATTTGATAGATGTAGAAACTGAGGCACTAAGATCCCCCCGGCCTTCATGGTCAAGTGTCTGTTGCACACCTGGCCAGGTAACAGGGACTTCAGCCACTGGGCTATGTTTCCCAGTCAGTTCAGTCTGTGACAGTCTCCTGCTGCCCAGGCCTGAGGGTCATGGGGACACTGGGGAATGCCCTTGCCTGCAAGTTTTCCCCAAGTGCCCAATGGCTCCTAGAGATGCTTGGCTGATCCCAGGACTGCTCCACTGTGGGATGCCCTGGGTGTTCTCCCCACACCAGATGGAGAGAGGGGCACATGGGTAGAGAGGGGCAGTGCTGGTTCCTTGCCGGAATCTCCTTACTTCTACGTTCTACCTCTCTCCAGCCCATCCTAGTTACTTGGATGGTTTCCTGACTCCCAGACCAGTGCAAGACCAGGCCACAGCCTTTACAGCCCAGGTTGGAGGGAGGAGGGCTGTAATCACAGTGAAGTAGGTGAGGGCTGCATGCTCCTTCATTATGAAAATAGCTTTGCACTGTTGGCTGGTTGTAGACAATCTCCCGCAGGAGCTCATTGGGATAATTGTGAAAGGAACTTAGGATGTCTTCAGTTTGGCTTATTTTTCCCCTCAGAGCTCTCAGAGGGGATTGGAAGATTTTCAAAAAAATGTTTTCTAAAGCAATAAATTGGAGGTGCATGAATCTCCTTAAAGCTTTAGTTCAGTAAGTAAAGAACAAGCAGCTCTGAAACAAGCTCCAGGTGCATCTGAAGGGACCTCTGCAAAAGATGCCTCTGGCCCAGCCTCAGGAAGGCCTGGAAGCTTCCAAGAGCAGTGACATCATCTTTTTAAAAATTTTTAATATTTATTTATTTTTCCATTTATTTATTTGACTGCGCCAGGTCTCACCCGCAGCACGCAGCATCTTCAATCTTCATTGCAGTGTGTGGGATCTCCAGACAGGGCATGCTAAGACTTTATTTGCAGCTTGTGAACTCTTAGTTGCGGCATGCAGGATCTAGTTCCCTGACCAGGGATCGAACCCAGGCCCCCCTGCATTGGGAGCACCGAATCTTAGCCACTGGACCACCAGGGAAGCCCCTAGTAGTGGCGTGCCACTGGCCAGCACTCTCTGGGCTGTGATGCGGAGAGAGGCTCGGCTCAGGTCCATGGAGGGGAGAAGACACAGGGCCTCATCAGTGTATGCCAGCTGAGAGAGGCAGGGACACTGCCCTCTGCTTTCTGGTTCAACTGCGGGTGATGGGCGGATGCTCATCCTTGGTGTTCACTGGTAGCAGGAGGCCCTCAGGTTGAGGATCTGGGTGGCACGTGGAGGCCTCATTGCTGCTGCCTCCTACAGACAGTCCTCTGGTTTGTGTGTGACTTGGCCTTCAAGTCCTGTCATGTCCAGAGCCAGCGTGAGTGCGGTGTCTGCATGCAGCCAACTTGCAGCTGGTTGGGAGCACAGTGCAGAGCAGGAATCCCAAGTCTCAAAGGCTCTCTGAAATGACTGATACTGAATAGGGCCAGTTGTTTCAAGTTGCCAGCTGTGACCCACTAGTAAGCTGTGAGACCAGCATGTGCCAGGGTACCTCACCTGTAGCATGATACACAACCACTTTGTGACTTTATTTCAGTTTTTCTATATGCCTGCATAAATATAGGTACTGGGTCATGATGTAGAATGTATTTCTTTTTTTTTTTTTTTGGCCACTCCACGAGGCTTGTGGGATCTTAGTTCCCTGACCAAGGATCAAACCCATGCCCCCTGCAGTGGAAGCGTGGAGTCCTAACCCCTAGACCACTGGAAGTCCTAAAATGTATTTCTTGCTGTGAGTCATGATGAGAAAATAACAAAAGCTGCTTCTCTGAGTTGTCCCACAGTGACTTGGGGTCTGTGCTCAGCTGGCCTAGCTCCCTGTCCTTCAGCTCTCCTCCCTCAACTATGCTACATTCTTCCCTCCTCCCATCTCCACCCGCATCTCTGTCCATCTTGGTCACCACCACTGCATCCTCCTGGCGACTAGTTGTTGGGAGTGATGTGAGGATGGGCTGTGGGGCCCCAGCTGAGGGGACGATCTCAGCTCTCCTCTTACCTGAGTATGGAGCCAGGTAGATGGTAGGTTCAATGCTACCTGACCCTCTACCCCATCCCACCTTACCTCACACACCCTGCATGGCCTGAGCTCATAGTCCAGAAGTCCTGCCTTTGGTCTTACCATTTTCCCTGCCT